TTTCATTATGTATGAGGTCAATTTTTTTTTATTGGAGTTAAAATTAACGTAGATATATGACCGAACCTAACCAACCCTACCTAACCTAACCTAACCTATCTTTATAGGTTAGGTTAGGTTAGGTAGCCGAAAAAGTTAGGTTAGGTTAGGTTAGGTAGGTTAGGTAGTCGAAAAACAATTAATTCATGAAAACTTGGCTTATTAGGCAAATCGGGCCTTGCATAGTAGGCTGAGAAGTGCGTTCTGGCTACTAGGTACGACATATATATATATATATATATATATATATATATATATATATATATATATATATATATATATATATATAGGGTATTAAAAGTATCAACACAAGACAGAACACAAACAATGGGTATTGAATAGAAGTGTTTGTAGAAAGCCTATTGGTCCATATTTCTTGATGCTTCTATATTGGAGCGGAGTCTTGAGGTGGGTAGAATATAGTTGTGCAATAATTGGCTGTTGATTGCTGGTGTTGACTTCTTGATGTGTAGTGCCTCGCAAACGTCAAGCCGCCTGCTATCGCTGTATCTATCGATGATTTCTGTGTTGTTTACTAGGATTTCTCTGGCGATGGTTTGGTTGTGGGAAGAGATTATATGTTCCTTAATGGAGCCCTGTTGCTTATGCATCGTTAAACGCCTAGAAAGAGATGTTGTTGTCTTGCCTATATACTGGGTTTTTTGGAGCTTACAGTCCCCAAGTGGGCATTTGAAGGCATAGACGTCGTTAGTCTCTTTTAAAGCGTTCTGTTTTGTGTCTGGAGAGTTTCTCATGAGTAGGCTGGCCGTTTTTCTGATTTTATAGTCATACACTGCATATATACACTGCAGTCTACACTAAGGAAACAAACATAGGAATGTGCCTAAATGCCAACAGTGACTGCCCTGACAGGTACAAGAGGAGTGTTGTTAACGCATATGTCGACCGTGCTCTCAGCCACAGCTCAGAATGGAAGCAAGTCGACGAAGAACTCTGTAGGGTAAGGCAGGTCCTAGTTAATAACGGCTTCTCCAATGGTTTCATCGAAGACATCATAAGAAGGAAAGTGAAAAGCCATGCAACCTCTGAAGAGACAACTAACACAACACCTATACCCCCTATTAGACTATTTTACAGGAACTTCTTTTCCACAGCTCATAAAACGGAGGAAAGGGTCCTGAAAGATATTGTTAATAGAAACGTTATCCCTACAGACAAAAATCAGAGGATACAACTGACGATTTACTATAAAACCAGAAAAACGGCCAGCCTACTCATGAGAAACTCTCCAGACACAAAACAGAACGCTTTAAAAGAGACTAACGTCGTCTATGCCTTCAAATGCCCACTTGGGGACTGTAAGCTCCAAAAAACCCAGTATATAGGCAAGACAACAACATCTCTTTCTAGGCGTTTAACGATGCATAAGCAACAGGGCTCCATAAAGGAACATATAATCTCTTCCCACAACCAAACCATCGCCAGAGAAATCCTAGTAAACAACACAGAAATCATCGATAGATACAGCGATAGCAGGCGGCTTGACGTTTGCGAGGCACTACACATCAAGAAGTCAACACCAGCAATCAACAGCCAATTATTGCACAACTATATTCTACCCACCTCAAGACTCCGCTCCAATACAGAAGCATCAAGAAATATGGACCAATAGGCTTTCTACAAACACTTCTATTCAATACCCATTGTTTGTGTTCTGTCTTGTGTTGATACTTTTAATACCCTATTAATATCCCCTCTTGTTCTGTCTTGTGTTAATGCCACATCACCCCTCCCACCTCACTCAAATGTAGATATAAAATCGGAGATACGTAAGTTCTAATCAGTTGTGTATTTGTGAACTAAAGTCTTTGAAAATGTAATAAGTTTTACGAAACGCGCCCGTGTCGCGTCAGACTAGAAATAAAATGAATTTTGGAGAATTGATTTTTGATTTACCTCCAACAGTGAAGCGTAATGTACGAAAGATTGAGAAAATTCGTGTTAGAATTATTAATCTTACTTTTTCGGTCATATTTAATAATATATATATATATATATATATATATATATATATATATATATATATATATATATATATATATATATGCACATATATATATATATATATATATATATATATATATATATATATATATATATATACATATATATATATACATATTTATATATATATATATATATATATATATATATATATATATATATATATATATATATATATATATATATATATATATATATATATATATATATATGTCGTACCTAATAGCCAGAACGCACTTCTCAGCCTACTATGCAAGGCCCGATTTGCCTAATAAGCCAAGTTTTCATGAATTAATTGTTTTTCGACTACCTAACCTACCTAACCTAACCTAACCTAACTTTTTCGGCTACCTAACCTAACGTAACCTATTAAGATAGGTTAGGTTAGGTTAGGTAGGGTTGGTTAGGTTCGGTCATATATCTACGTTAATTTTAACTCCAATAAAAAAAAATTGACCTCATACATAATGAAATGGATAGCTTTATCATTTCATAAGAAAAACATTAGAGAAAATATATTAATTCAGGAAAACTTGGCTTATTAGGCAAATTTGGCCTTGCATAGTAGGCCGAGAAGTGCGTTCTGGCTACTAGGTACGACATATATATATATATATATATATATATATATATATATATATATATATATATATATATAATATATATATATATATATATATATATATATATATATATATATATATATATAACTCCACATCCCAGATGTGACTTGAACCCATACTATCAGGAGCACCACTATGCTACTGGTGTACATGAGGCCTTACCCACTCGACCATCAGTGACCGTACAAAAAGAGGTGATAGCCGAGTCTATTTGAACCACGGCCCTGACAGCACTCTGATGGCATGGCAACTTGGGCATGGTTGTTTTATCAAATCACCTCCTTTTTGTAGGGCCACGTGAGCAACACAAATGCGAACAAGCCTGAATGGTCTCTAGGCATATATTCAACTGAAAACTCCATCCCCCAGAAGTGACTCAAACCCATACTGCCAGGAGTACTATGCAACTGGCCTTAACCACTCGACCATCAGGGTCCATACAAAACGAGGTGATAGCCGAGGCTATTTGAACCACCTCCCCAACGGCACTTTGATGGTAATCTTGGTAATGGTTGTTTTATCAAATCACCTCCTTTTTGTGGGGCACGTGAGCAACACAAATGCGAACAAAGTGCCGTTAGGGAGGTGGTTCAAATAGCCTCGGTTCCGAGGCTATTAAATCTCCGAAAGTTCTTCACTGATTGCTTTCAAATTTTCACACAACGTTCCATTCACATCCGTGCAGGTTTTTATACACATACTATATAGATGTCACGTCTGTGATGGGAAAAAACATGTTTTTTTAACTTTGATTTTCATGTTTTTTCATGTGAGGGAAATCTTCGAAACCTCTTCACCGATTGCTTTGAAATTTTGACACAATGTTGCATTCGAATAGATGCGTGTTTTTATATATCTATCATATACATGCCTCACCTGTGACAGGAAAAAACATTTTTTTTTTTTAAAACAGCGACATCTGTTGGACGAAAGAGCAACACAAGCTGTAATCTCCAAAAGTTCTTCACCGATTGCTTTGAAATTTTCACACAACATTCCATTCATATATGCGTGCGTTTTCATATACCTACAATATAGATGCAACATCTGTGACATGCTTTTATTGAAAAACAGCGCCATCTGTTGCACATAATAGCATCACACACTATACTAAATATGTTACAATTCCATTTCAATATTTCCAATTGCATTGATAAATTGAATTTTCATAGATTTCAATTAATTTTCATTTTCATTTAATTACTTTGTGAGACATTGCGTTGGAATTGACCTGTGTTGTTTACCATGCCGTTCATTTTGTGAGTATAAGTATAGATGCCACACCTGTGACAGGTAAAAACATGTTTTTTTTTAACAGCACCATCTGTTGCTTATAAGAGAAACACACGCTATACTAAATATGTTAAGATTCCATTTCAATATTTTTTATTTCATTAATAAATTGAATTTTCATAGATTTCAATTTATTTTCATATGATATAATTATTTTGTGTGACATATCGTTGGAATTGAGCTGTGTTGTTTACCATACCGTTCATTTCGTGAGTATAGTTTATTTCCTTATTTTTTCATTGTTCTTCATTTTGTTTTTTAAACTGTTTTTTCTTATATTTCAGTGATGGAAACAGCAGATCATTTGATCCGTGCAGGAATTACACTGCAAAAAAAAAAGTCATTTGATGTTCCCAATTTTCTGATAGAAACATCAGATCATTTGGGAATGCATCAGACGAGGGAGTGGGGAATTGTAGGGAGGACTAGGGGATGGGAGTGGGGGATGGATGGGAGGACGAGGGGGACAGGAGAAGGGTAATGGTGGGGAGGACACGGGGACAGGGGAGTGGGGGATGGTGGGGAGGATGAGGGCTGGGGGAGGGGGGAATGGTAGGGAGGGCGAGGGGATGGGGGAGAGGGAGATGATGGGGAGGACGAGGGGATGGTGGAGTGGGGAATAGTTAGGAGGATAATGGGACACTGGAATGGAGGATGGTGGGGGAGGACAAAATGACCAGGGAAGGGGAGGATGAGAGGACAGGGGAGTGGGGAATGGCTGGGATGATGAGGGGGGACAGGGGAGGGGGGGGAATGGTAGGGAGGGGAGTGGGAGACAGTGGGAGGTTGTTGTGGCTCAGCAACACACGTGCGTTGCTGAGCCACGTCAACACGTGGCTGGGTACAGCTAGTATATAAATAATGCTACTCTAACTTACATCTCCTGCTCTCCACACCTAAACCCAATCCCCTGCACATCACCTATGGTTCCAGCTCGCATTTACTCTGCCAACTTATGTACTCGAATTTCACTTCATGAATCACTTAGAAACATAAGACTAAGACAGGAACACATCATACCGCCTTGAATCCTGGGCCATATAACCAGTGAACTGGGGCCATCCCCACTATGTGACGATCTTCGAAATTCTCAAATTCCGTCCACAAATCTTCAGGAGGTTGCATGAAGATGAGGTCCGTGTCTAGGGAGATAAGAATGTCCTTCTCCTTGTAAAGATACGGAAGGAAGAGCTTCTCTGTGGAGCAGTGCCTGAACATTTTCAGCAAATTCTCTGTCTTTGGTGGATAGTAGACCTGGTGGTGCACTAAGACAATACGCGAGCGATACTCTGGCGGCCAGGAGAGGGTCATGTTGACGATGTGTTGGTACGTCTTGTTGGTGTCCGTCACGATGTTGAATCTGGAATGGAGGGTAATGTAGGTTAGAAGTGTAGTGGTGGTCACATTGTGTTGTTTACTGCAGTGGTGCTGGCCAGAGTGTCTGGGCTGTTAACTGTATAGATGCTAGTCAGAGTGTCTGTGCTGTAAATTTATGTTGTGTGTAGAAAAAATTATTTGTGTAAAATGTTACGACCCTGGGTTCCTCAGCTGGAAACCAGAGGTCAAATTGAGCTAAATAAACTACTTTATATTAGTGGGACGCATGGTGAGGTGTCTTTGTTTGTATCTTCCATGCCAGACGTAAGATGATTCTTGTTTCTCAAAGAGCATTTAAAGACTGAGCTTGGGGTTGATTATTAAGTAATAAAATAGGCATCAACTATATTTACAAATGATTAGAAAGTATTAGTAAATTAGATCTGAGTAAACTTGGACATAGGGCTGCTGTACGATTAGCTGAGTAGTCTGCCGGCAGCGAGTCAGCTGAGGAAGGAGACTGGAGACGGTCTCCCTTCTCTGAGCTGGTGTCATGGTGAAAAGAACCTCTCCCCTTCCTCTTGCTTCTCACCCTTCCTTTTTCTGTGTCTAGTTTACCAAGATAAGTATACTGTATTGTAACCTCATTTTCTGGCATAAACATGTTCTGTGTGTAAAGTAGTACTGTGTAGAGTATTATTGTGCATTAAGTAGGTGATCACTAGTGTTTATATTGCTAAGTTACTCTAAGGGGGTCCCAGTGGAACCACGTGGGTTCCAGTAGTACCAGTAAGCTACCTAGAGTCCTTGCTAGTGTCCCTTGCCTAGTAAACTTTACCCTAGCTTGTGCTCATTGTAAAACCTTGTATCCTGCCTATGTGGACCAAGGCTTTTAACGTAAGATAGTGTGGTAAAGTAATTATTGTTATTGGTGTGAATGTATATGGGGGGGTTGTTAAAGGGTTAATAAATAAGTAAGTTAGTTAAAGGAGTATCCATTCTTCCTGTGTAGGAGATCTATGATCTACCTCTATACTGACATTGTCTTGTAGCCAATTAATTATCACGGGTTTTATCTTATTGGGGGCCGGGCCTTTAAGATCTCCATTACTTTGGGTACATCTTGATGCTAACTACTGACCCTACTCCATAATAATAATAGATCCCCCATAGCAGCACCTTTTAAAGTTATAACATAAAACATCATAATATAGGAATGGATAAGAGTTTATGAACAAACATGAACAACATATTGTGTTAGATGAAGACATACTCTACAAGTTACTAAAAAAATTGCCCCGAAGTGGGTTTGTTGAACACTCAGCTTGATTTTATGTTGAACACTTGGACTGTTTTAACAAAAGAAAATTCTACTTGACAAACTTATTACAGCTATACAATAAAATACGAAAATCAAACAAGAGAGTGATGAATGGGCAGAGTGCATAGTCCTCGACTGTCTGAAGGCATTTGGCACTGTTCTGCACAAAAGACTCTTGTTCAAGCTAGAGAAGGAGGCTTGTGTGTTGAGAAGTGTCGAAAGGTGGGTGAGAGAGTTTCTCTCAAAAAGGGTTACAGTGAGATAAGAGATATCAGAATAGAGACGTTACGAGAGGTGTATGAAGAAAGGTTGGTGTTGGAGCCTATCCTATTTCTATTATTTACATACGAAGATATGACACTTTTGCATTACAACTAATGCAGAACTCACGAGAGGAATCATGACAGAGAGAGACTTTGATACTCTGCAAACGGTTTTAACACACTCATGTAATGGTTCGAAAATTGGATGCAAGAAATTTTCCAGCTAAATATGAAAATTGCAACTGGAGTGATACGACCTGCACAGCTGTGAAGGGCACAAAGATTCTTGCAACAAAAGAGAAAAGTCCCAAGAGGCGTCAAAATACCATATGGAATGTCATATACACTCACCTCTTGGATACATGACTTATAATGTTGTCTATCACCATTACCATTCAGATTCATGCCGCACATCATTGTCTCCCACCACTGCCATTCAGATATATGCGTTTCATTACCGTCTCTCACAATAATCATTCAGTCACACGCCTTACATTGTTGTCTCCCACCACAACCAATCAGATACATACTTTATGCTATTGTCTCCAACCACATCTCTTCAGATACAATCCTAACTTTGTTGTCTCACTTAACGATTCAGATAAACGTCTTGCACTTTTGTCTCCTATCATACCCAATCAGATACACACATTAATTTCTCCCAACATAACCATTCACATACACACCTCTCATTGTTGTCACCTACCGTAACCATTCATACACATGTACTATATTGTTGTCCTTGTTGGAAATAACCAATAGTTTTATACATCTCTTGTATTTTTATACAATATTTTGTATTAACCACAAGTAGTTACTAAAAATTACTAACTTGTAAAAATTAATCATCATGATGATTTTATAATAGACAGTATTTGACAAATCCTCCCTACTACGTGTTCCAACAGGCAGCACAGGAAATATTTCCACATGTTGTTGGATTTATGACAGAGTCCAGTTTATCACTTTCATTACTAAGGATAATTACTATTAAGTTTGTATTCAAAGCCCACTACTTCTTACTGGAACTCTGTTATTTAGTTGATATTAAACATTCCAGTGGAAATTATTTAAATGTAAAATAATTTCACTTTATATTCCTCATTTATTTACATAGTTTTAATAAACCGACTTATGCTATGAAGAGTTATATTATAACATGAAAGATTTAAATGTGACATAAATACTCGTCACAATCTCTTCTTTCATTAGTTAATTCAGAAACATATAAATTCATTTACGCTCGAGATACTTACCGAGAGCCACACATGCACAATCGGGAGGAGGGAGAAGACAAGAGAGCGTCGCTACCCACCACGTGAGAGAGACGCCATTAACAACATGCCTCTACGAGAGAGACGTCATTAACAGCGTGCCACAGAACGCGTCAACACTTGCCTCTCCGACGCCATTACACGGAAGCATGAGCAACCATCTTGCCAAGTTACTGTGTTGCAGAACTCCTACTTAACAAATCATAGTTACGTCATCCTAGCATCAGCGGGTGCCAGAGTTCGTGGAGATCTACATCTGCATACAACTCAATTCCTGGCGAGCATAATTCCAGTTCCTACTGATGTTTGTTATATGAGTGTACTTAGTAACATTTTTCATATGTAGGTTGCTCTTTCGTTATGCCACGCTACAACCAATAAACCAAAGTTAGTTGAACGGAATCTAGATTCTCACGTCTCAATGAGAAATAGTGATATTAACGATAGGCTAGACAACCTTTACATTTAATTTTCCTTTCAGCTTGACTGGGAGCGGCGTGAAGGAGAAGAATTAATTTCATTCTCTGTGCTTGCTCAACAATGCGTTACCACGAGTGTGCTGTCGTTATCGCCCCACACGTTTCCAACAAATTCAGTCGAACAGCTAAGCTGACCTGATTTTCTAGTAGTGTAGTATTAGATATATTAACTTCTAGTTACATGAATGATTTCCTTCCAAATTGCCATTTACTTGTCATTTATGAAAGTTATACTATTTACTAACTACATTTATTTGATTTATATATGAACCATGATTTGAATTTGCATACATATTTCTTTCTGACGATTGAACCAGCGTCGGATTATTGGTGCTAGAACTTAATTGTATCCTAGCACTCGTTTCCCCCAGTTTGTGAAAGTTCATTTGACTCGTATCGCATGATAAATACAGTTTCACTAAGATCCATAGGACACAAGTTTTTGGTATCAATCTAATCCACTTGCTCTTTTTTGTTTTCCACTTTTTTCTCAAAAGGTGGTGGTCCTTCGTAGCTATTGAAGTCTCTTTCCATTTTAATTACAAATATTGGAGTCAGATTTTCTCACAGTCCTAGTAGTATGAACCAGGCCAGAAGCCGGCCATTCTGTTTTTCCCGACGGTCAGCTACTGGCCCCTGATTTTGTTTTTCAGTGAATGTCGTAGACAACATGCTTCTGGCCCCTATTTTTATCATTAACGTCGAATAAGACTGGCTTCTGGGCCCTGATTTGTTTCCTTGAACATCTGCGACGTTCAATGAAAATTATCCCCACACATCGCTATTGGTGATGTCATTATCCCCACAGCCTATATAAAATATTTATGCTAGATATATATTTTGTTAATTCATCTCATATATTTATACAAGCAGGTTTATATATTTTGCAGTTCTTAAACAGTTTTAATACATGACTTGTGTTACATCGCTTTTCAGTGTGGTCTGAGCAGTATTAAGAGTCATTTGCTCTTATATGGATCCAGCCACTTTAACTGGATGGCAGAGTGATGGTCTCGGTTCATGCAGGTTGGAAACCTGTCCTAAACTAACTTGAAGTAACCTAACCTAACCCAAGTTGACCCATCCAAACCTCATCTAACCTAACATAACCCAACCTAACCTAACCTAATCCAACTTGACCCATCCTAACCACCACCTAACCTAACCCAACTAGACCCATCCTAACTTCACCTAACCTAACTCATCTTGACCCATCCTAACCTCACCTAACCTAACTTAACCCAACTTGACCCCACCTAACCTAACCTAACCCAACTTGACCCATCCTAACCCCACCTGACCTAACCTAACCTAACCTAACCCTACATGACCGAACCTAACCCCACCTAATCTAACCTACCTTAACCTAAGACAACTAAAGCTAAATCCAATAAGACTACTGGACGATTTGTTAAATATATATTAGTGACATGACTGGGTGTGAGTGAATGAGTGTAACAAGAGGATATAATTGATGTATTTTAATATATTAAAACAACGGATATAAATTGAATGAGGTTAAGAAATATTGGTGAGAGAACAGTTCAGCATAAATAATACTGAAAATATATATGTATAAATATATTTGTTTGTGAGGATTGAGCCATTTTCTGGTTTGGATGCTAGATGCACGATACATATCTGTGACACTATGAGAATGACGTTTAGGGAAGCTAGTTTGGGTCAAACATAGCAACAGCATGCTATAATTGACTTGATATCGAGGAGGATGTTTATGCTAATTGAGTATTGATTGTGCAAATTGTGTATTGATGCCATTTGTGCAAGTTGTGTAATGATTTCGTTTGAGTACTGTTTCTATTTCTGCAAGTTGTGCAGTGATTGTATAGGTGCACATTGTATTATAAATGTATTTGTTTAAAGTTGAATAATGATTGCATATGTACAAGTTTTGAATTGACTGTTTCTGTGCAAACTGTGTTTACTAGTTGTGTTTTGCGGGGGTTGAGCTTTGCTCTTTCGGCCCGCCTCTCAACTGTCAATCAACTGTTTACTAATTACTATTTTTTTTTTTTTTTTTTTTTTTTTTTTTTTTTTTTTTTTTTTTTTTTCCCACACCACACACACATCCCAGGAAGCAGCCCGTGACAGCTGACTAACTCCCAGGTACCTATTTACTGCTAGGTAACAGGGGCACTTAGGGTGAAAGAAACTTTGCCCATTTGTTTCTGCCTCGTGCGGGAATCGAACCCGCGCCACAGAATTACGAATCCTGTGCGCTATCCACCAGGCTACGAGGCCCCAGTGTGTTTGTGTTTGTGTGTGTGTTTGTGCAGTGTGAGTGTGTTTGTGCAAGTTGTACGTGGTAATATTTGTGCAGGTTCTGCATGTGTTGTTTTTTGTGAAAAAATGGACCATGTGTGAAAGTGAATTTGTTTAGTGACTGTGTAAGGATTTTGTGCAAGTGATGTACATTATAAAATTTAGTATTTTTTGTGAAAGTGCATTTTGATTTATACAGGTGTATGTGCAATTTTTGATATTTGTGCAAATGCTGTTTTTCGTGTAAAGTTATGTTTTGTGTGTAAATGTGATATTGTGTGTAAATGTCATACAGTGTAGGTAAATGTGATATTTTGTGTAAATGTCATGCTTTGTGTGTGTAAATGTCATGCTTTGTGTGTAAATGTGATATTTTGTGTAAATGTAATGCTTTGTGTGTAAATGTAATATTTTGTGTAAATGTAATGCTTTGTGTGTAAATGCAATATTCACATAAAAACGTACTTTGTGTGTAAATATGATATTCATGTAAAAATCTTACTTTGCATCTAAATGTGAAAGTTTGTGTAAATGTCATACTTGAACATTATGTGATATTTTGCATAAATGTCTTTGCTTTGTTTGCAAAAAAATATTTGTTGCAAATATTTGTAATTTATGCTGCGTGATCGATTGTGTATATTTATAGTTTCTTTTATAAGTTTGTCACTTTGTGTATTAGTGTGCAGACTGCTAAAGTCTGAATGGTCATAAATTATAATAAATTAGCATACCTTTTATCTTAAATTAGTAATTATTACTTAAGCTAATTTTATTTCAATGTATTAAACACCTTGGTTTAACTCTCACTATAATAATAACTTAGTGAAGCTACAAGGATATTTAAACACATTATTAAAATAATAGCTTAGAGATTAGCGATCAATTTGGTGTGTTTAGTAGGGTAGTAGCAATATTTTTGGACTTGCTTGAATATTATCGTTAACTTTTTGAGATAGAAGTACAATATAAACTAAAGGAGATTATGACTGGCTATTAACGTCTTTCATCGACAATTCCAGATGACGGAAGCTGGCCGCCGAAATTCAAGTAAAATATTAAGGGGCCGCAAGCCGGCCGTCGCTGACCTTCTGATAACAAATTAGGGGCCAGAAGCCAGCCCTTTTGCTCTTCCTGAGAGCCGGCGTCTGGCCCCTGATATACTCGTAGATCTGACGGAGTAGTTTATACAACGATAGTGAAGACAGGTTTAATGTTATTGCTCAAACGAATACATGGCTTAACCACATTGTCCACTGTTTTTGTTAAGGGTGACCTGTATTACTGGCTTAAAGCGTTAATGCAGTTGCTACTTTTTGAGTAACAAAACTTTTCTGCAATCCTTCATCAAACTGCCCTCTAACCTGGAGTTTATTCCTCCCATTGTTTAGAGTCATCGTGGCTGTTGGAGTATTCGTTGCAGTGTGGATAGAGCTTCCATAGCTCGTACAACGTTGGAAATGTTGCAAACGACTAACGCTACTAACAAAGGTCAAGATACTTAGTGCATTGATATATCGAATGTTCTTCATAACAGAGCAAACAATATTTAAATCTTGTTGGAGCTTATGTAGCATCTTTCTTATCAGGAGCTTCATTTACAACGGGTTTTACTGGATAAATATCACAAGTTTGCTTGCTGCCTTGCTGCCTTGCTGCCTTGCTGCCTTGCGGCCTTGCTGCCTTGCTGCCTTGCTGCCTTGCAGCCTTGCAGCCTTGCTGCCTTGCTGCCTTGCTGCCTTCCTGCCACTTAAATTGTGGCTTCTGATGTTTGGGCTTCTCAGAGTTATTTACTTTAGTTATGTCAGATGAAGACTTTTCTGGTGATGGTTTTATCTTTTTAAGGGCTTTCATTTAGTTAACAGTCACCCCCAGTCCCAAAAATTTATCTATCTGTTGTCTATCACAATAACCATTCAGATACACGCCTTATATAATTTTCTCCCAACAAAACCATTCAGATACAGACCTTTCATTGTTCTTAACTTCCATTGTCATTTAGATCAAGTCTTATATTGTTGTCTCCAACCATAACCATTCAGATTGATAACAAAAATTGCTGTCTCCCACAAAAAAACATTCAGATAAACGCCCTAACATTGTTGTCCCCTTCCATAACCATTCAGATAAACGCCTAACATCGTTGTCTCTCACCATAACAATTCAAATACTCGCCATTCACTGTTGTCTCTCATAGTAACAACACAGAAATGCGCCTTACTCTGTTCTCTTCCACAATAACCATTTCATAAACATAGAACTCAATATGGATGTCAGTGTTTGCAAACGTTTGACTTCCTTTGTAAGGCTTTGTAAGCATAAGCCATAACAACACGTCCCCCACAGCCAGTTACCAACCTAGTTACCACTAACCAAGAAACATAAATCACCAAAAGCTCATCATCACGTAGTAATCATCCAGCTAAACCTTTCACCATTCACTCATCAACACTTAATCCTGAGTCTGTTTGATCTCACCATCACCCTTTCTCTCTTATGTTATCAGTCCTTCCTTCTAATCATATTTTATGACCCACCTGAGTGTGGTGGAGGTGAGAGCCGCGGCTGACTTCAACAAGACCCTTATCTGCCGCAGGTGTCGAGACAAGCTGAAGGCACTGTTCCCAGGGACAGCTGAAGTGGCTGTACAAGGTGCAAGGAAGATTTAGTAACAGGCAACTGTTACTGCAGAAAAAAAAACACATTTAAAAAATTTGAGAATGCTGAATGTGTTATCGGCTTAATTCGCCTTCATCAGAGCAATAATGAGTGAGGACGGAGAAGTGATTAATTGATGAAGATTAAGCCACCCAGAAGTGGCTTCATCATCATCTTAATCTTAGAATATATTTACTAGTGACTATTGAAGGTGAAGAGCTGCAAATCGAATTATAATTATATATAATATTCAAAGTAAATTTTTGAAAAATCATATTAAATATTATTGTCCCTGTCTTGACCACCTTGGATTGGAGACAATGTTAAGTAGCGTGGTCTGAACCCTAACTAGCTGAATATAAAATAAGTGGGAGAGTTACAGAGAGTGGAGGCTTAATGACATCATAGTAATCCAAGGACAGAAATCATGGTCCCCAAGCCAATATGCAACAGAAAACTCCACACCCTATTAGGATTCAAACCCAGACATCCAGGTGCTCCATGCACCTTAACGTGTTCAGAATTTTCACCACTAGGCCACAACGACTGTTAAAAGAATTCAAAGTCGTCAGAACCATAACCCAATTCCCACCATCACTCGGCGACAATTTTTGGCCACAGATATTTCATCGAGTCACTTTACATGAATATGAAATATCTGTGCCCGAAAAGGTCACCGAGTGCTGTTGTGAATTGGGTTAAGTGTCGTATGACTTTCAATTCTTTTAGTCTCCGTGGTGTAGTGGTAAGACACTCGCCTGGCGTTCCGCGAGCGCTATGTCATGGGTTCGTATCCTGGCCGGGGAGGATTTACTGGGCGCAATTCCTTAACTGTAGCCTCTGTTTAACGCAACAGTAAAATGTGTACTTGGATGAAAAAACGATTCTTCGCGGCAGGGGATCGTATTCCAGGGACCATAGGATTAAGGACTTGCCCGAAACGCTACGCGTACTAGTGGCTGTACAAAAATGTAACAACTCTTGTATATATCTCAAAAAAAAAAAAAAAAAAAAATTGTTGTGGCTTAGTGGTGAAAGTATTGGATATACAAAGGTGCATAGAGCCCCCCTGGCTGTCTGGGTTCAATTCCTTCTGGGGTGAGGAGTTTTCTGTTGCATATTGGCTTGGGGACCATTCAAGCTTCTTCACACAAATGATACTCATGTGGCCCCCTGCAAGTGAGATGATTTGATGAAATATCTATGCCCAAAAAAGTCATCGAGAGCTGTTGGGAATTGGGTTAAATGTCTTACGACTTTCAATTATTTTAACAGTCGTTGTGTACTAGTGGTGAAAATACCAGACACACTAAGGTGCATGAAGTCCTTGGCTGTCTGGGTTCAAATCCTTTTGGGGTGAGGAGTTTTCTGGTATATGTATATATATATATATATATATATATATATATATATATATATATATATATATATATATATATATATATATATATATATATGTATATACATATATATAAATATATATATATATATATATATATATATATATATAATATATATATATATACATATATGTATACATACATATATATATATACATATATATATATATATATATATATATATATATATATATATATATATATATATCTATATATATATATATATATATATTAAATATGACCGAAAAAGTAAGATTAATAATTCTAACACGAATTTTCTCAATCTTTCGTACATTACGCTTCACTGTTGGAGGTAAATCAAAAATCACTTCTCCAAAATTCATTTTTATTTCTAGTCTGACGCGACACGGGCGCGTTTCGTAAAACTTATTACATTTTCAAAGACTTCACAAATACACAACTGATTAGAACGTATCTCTGATTTATATCTACATTTGAGTGAGGTGGGAAGGGTGATGTGGCATTAACACAAGACAGAACAGGAGGGGATATTAATAGGGTATTAAAAGTATCAACACAAGACAGAACAGAAACAATGGGTATTGAATAGAAGTGTTTGTAGAAAGCCTATTGGTCCATATTTCTTGATGCTTCTATATTGGAGCGGAGTCTTGAGGTGGGTAGAATATAGTTGTGCAATAATTGGCTGTTGATTGCTGGTGTTGACTTCTTGATGTGTAGTGCCTCACAAACGTCAAGCCGCCTGCTATCGCTGTATCTATCGATGATTTCTGTGTTGTTTACTAGGATTTCTCTGGCGATGGTTTGGTTATGGGAAGAGATTATATGTTCCTTAATGGAGCCCTGTTGCTTATGCATCGTTAAACGCCTAGAAAGAGATGTTGTTGTCTTGCCTATATACTGGGTTTTTTGGAGCTTACAGTCCCCAAGTGGGCATTTGAAGGCATAGACGACATTAGTCTCTTTTAAAGCGTTCTGTTTTGTGTCTGGAGAGTTTCTCATGAGTAGGCTGGCCGTTTTTCTGGTTTTATAGTAAATCGTCAGTTGTATCCTCTGATTTTTGTACAACTGACGATTTACTGATTTTTATACAACTGACGATTTACTATAAAACCAGAAAAACGGCCAGCCTACTCATGAGAAACTCTCCAGACACAAAACAGAACGCTTTAAAAGAGACTAATGTCGTCTATGCCTTCAAATGCCCACTTGGGGACTGTAAGCTCCAAAAAACCCAGTATATAGGCAAGACAACAACATCTCTTTCTAGGCGTTTAACGATGCATAAGCAACAGGGCTCCATTAAGGAACATATAATCTCTTCCCATAACCAAACCATCGCCAGAGAAATCCTAGTAAACAACACAGAAATCATCGATAGATACAGCGATAGCAGGCGGCTTGACGTTTGCGAGGCACTACACATCAAGAAGTCAACACCAGCAATCAACAGCCAATTATTGCACAACTATATTCTACCCACCTCAAGACTCCGCTCCAATATAGAAGCATCAAGAAATATGGACCAATAGGCTTTCTACAAACACTTCTATTCAATACCCATTGTTTCTGTTCTGTCTTGTGTTGATACTTTTAATACCCTATTAATATCCCCTCCTGTTCTGTCTTGTGTTAATGCCACATCACCCTTCCCACCTCACTCAAATGTAGATATAAAATCAGAGATACGTTCTAATCAGTTGTGTATTTGTGAAGTCTTTGAAAATGTAATAAGTTTTACGAAACGCGCCCGTGTCGCGTCAGACTAGAAATAAAAATGAATTTTGGAGAAGTGATTTTTGATTTACATCCAACAATGAAGCGTAATGTACGAAAGATTGAGAAAATTCGTGTTAGAATTATTAATCTTACTTTTTCGGTCATATTTAATGATATATGTCTACAGGAAAGACTGCTACCAAAATATACTAATATATATATATATATATATATATATATATATATATATATATATATATATATATATATATATATATATATATATATATAAAATCGGAGGATGTTAATGCTAATTCCGAGAATTTATAAGAGAATTATCTTACCATCGCACAAGGTGAGAGACAAATCAACTTTTGGTTGATCATCTAAGCGGGAATCATGATTTAAATCTGAAAAAAGAGAGTATTATTCTATATAATATTCGTTCAATTTATCATGTACGCATTCATACACGCTATTTAACACAAGGGGCACATGCACTATGGAACACAGGTGGAAATTGAGTGCCCAAATGAGCCATAGAGACATTAGAAAGATTTTTTTCAGTGTCAGAGTAGTAGACGAATGGAATGAAATAGGAAGTGATGTGGAGGAGACTGACTCCATACACAGTTTCAAATGTAGATATGATATAGCTCAGAGGCTCAGGAACTGTTACACCAGTTGATTGACAGTTGAGAGGCGCGACCAAACAGCCAGTGCTCAACCCCCGCAAGCACAACTAGGTAAGTACACACACTCACACACACACACAGGTGATGGAGAAGATCGTGAGAAAAAACCTGGTAACTCATCTGGAGAGAAGGGACTTCGTGACAAATCGCCAACATGGATTCAGGGAGGGTAAATCTTGCCTTACAGGCTTGATAGAATTCTACGATCAGGTGACACAGATTAAGCAAGAAAGAGAGGGCTGGGCGGACTGCATTTTCTTGGATTGTCGGAAAGCCTTTGACACAGTACCGCATAAGAGGCTGGTACATAAGCTGGAGAGACAGGCAGGTGTAGCTGGTAAGGTGCTCCAGTGGATAAGGGAGTATCTAAGCAATAGGAAGCAGAGAGTTACGGTGAGGGGTGAGACCTCCGATTGGCGTGAAGTCACCAGTGGAGTCCCACAGGGCTCTGTACTCGGTCCTATCTTGTTTCTGATACATGTAAATGATCTCCCGGAGGGTATCGATTCATTTCTCTCAATGTTTGCGGACGATGCTAAAATTATGAGAAGGATTAAAACAGAAGAGGACTGTTTGAGGCTTCAAGAAGACCTAGACAAGCTGAAGGAATGGTCGAATGAAGGATGGTTGTTAGAGTTTAACCCAACCAAATGTAATGTAATGAAGATAGGTGTAGGGAGCAGGAGGCCAGATACAAGGTATCATCTGGGAGAGGAAATTCTTCAGGAGTCAAAGAAGGAAAAAGACTTGGGGGTTGATATCACGCCAGACCTATCTCCTGCAGCACATATCAAGCGGATAACATCAGCGGCATATGCCAGGCTGGCCAACATACGAACGGCATTCAGAAACTTGTGTAAAGAATCATTCAGAACTTTGTATACCACATATGTCAGGCCAATCCTGGAGTATGCAGCCCCAGCATGGAGTCCATATCTAGTCAAGGATAAGACTAAACTGGAAAAAGTTCAAAGGTTTGCCACCAGACTAGTACCCGAGCTGAGAGGTATGAGCTACGAGGAGAGACTACGGGAATTAAACCTCACTTCGCTGGAAGACAGAAGAGTTAGGGGGGACATGATCACCACATTCAAGATTCTGAAGGGGATTGATAGGGTAGATAAAGACAGTCTATTTAACACAAGGGGAACACGCACAAGGGGACACAGGTGGAAACTGAGTTCCCAAATGAGCCACAGAGATATTAGAAAGAACTTTTTTAGTGTCAGAGTGGTTGACAAATGGAATGCATTAGGGGGTGATGTGGTGGAGGCTCACTCCATACACAGTTTCAAGTGTAGATATGACAGAGCCCGATAGGCTCAGGAATCTGTACACCTGTTGATTGACGGTTGAGAGGCGGGACCAAAGAGCCAGAGCTCAACCCCCGCAAACACAACTAGGTGAGTACAGTCGAGTCAAGTCAGCTGTCGAGGGAGGGTTGCGGGGTCACGCTCTACGATAAATGCCAATATTTTTGGGTTAATTAAGGCTACAGTGACAGATTACAGATCTAAGGGTATCACAAAGCGTATAACCACCGTGAATAGGAAAGAAAAATACCATGTTATCACTAGAACTTTGTGTTAAACAGTGAATTCACCAGACAGGCCATGTGGGCGGGCCACGAGGCTTTGTTTACATTTGGGCTCCAGTGATCAGTGGTACAGTAAATTAGTGAACTGTAACACAACAGACACAACGATACAGTGACTGACTCCCTAGCTTTGTGTTAGATAGAGAAGAACCGCCATCATCAATCTACTGGAACTTTGTGAATCATCACGTGGGAGGCGACGACGGATCAACTCATCATCCAGACATCGTCCTAATTCATCTAGTTGTGCGAGCGGGAGGCTGACTGGTAGGTAGGTAGGTAAAATATTATCAAATTCTTGTTCAGTATATCATATATATGTTTAAAATCTCAAAGTAGCTCATTTTGGCTAGAGGTTGACACTTACGGGACCCTCGTGACACACGCACGTGCACGTACGTATGCACACACACACGCATGCACACACAAAAACATATATATGCACACACACACACACACACAAACGCTCAGTCAGGGTAGAAAGGATTAACACCTTGTGTGGTGTTAAGGATTATGTGTCTGCTATGTGGGGGTCTAGTATTATGGAGTAGGATCAGCAGTTAGAATTAAGATGTATCCCAAGTATTGGAGATCATAAAGACCCGGCCCCCAATAAAAATATAAGAGTAATACTTATAGTGGCTTACTGAAAATGTTAGCCTGGAGGTAGATCATAGATCTCCTACACAGGAAGAATGGATACTCCTTTAAAACTAACTTATTTATTAAACCATCTTAACAACCCCCATATACATTCACACCAATAACAATAATTACTTTACCACACTATCTTATGTTAAAAGCCTTGGTCCACATATAAGCAGGATACAAGGTTTCACAATGAGCACAAGCTAGGGTAAAGTCTACTAGGCAAGAAACACTAGCAAGGACTCTAGGTAGCTTACTGGTACTACTGGAGCCCACGTGGTTCCATTGGGACCCCCCTTAGAGTAACTTAGCAATATAAACACTAGTGATCACCTAATTAATTAATACACATTAATACTCTACACACAGAACACACTTTTGCCAGAAAATGTGAACACAACACAGTATTTAGTATTTATCTTGGTAAATTAGACACAGAAATAGGTAATGGAGAGAAGCAGGAGGAAGGGGAGAAGGTTGTTTTCACCACGACGCCAGCCAGAGAAGGAGAAGCGTCTCCAGTTTCAGCTTCCTCCAGCTGACTCGCTGCCAGCCGACTACTCAGCTAATCGTACAGCAGCCCTATATCCAAGTTTACTCAGATCTACTTTACTAATACTTTCTAATCATTTGTAAACACAGTTGATGCCTATTTTATTAACTAATAATCAACCACAAGCTCAGTCTTTAAATGCTCTGTGAGAAACAAGATTCGTCTTACGTCTGGCAAGGAAGATACGAACAGAGACACATCGGCAAGCGTCCCACATAATACAAAGTAGTTTATTTAGCTCAATTTGACCTCTTGTTTCCACTGAAGAACCCAGGGTCGTAACATGTGGAAATGGGATAAGACCTCACTCATACTCCACCCCCTCTCTTATCCCCAATCTCACTAACCCAATACTCTCCCCCCCACTCCCACACCCCCCTCCATGACTGACCGCAAATACACACGCACGCACACACGCAACACACCACAGTGACCATCTCCGCCCCCCCCACCACACCACCTTACCCACCCATCACCCATGACACACACTCCCCCCCCCAGTTCTCACCCCCACCCATCTCCTCTCCCCACCTCTCCCCCTTCCACCCCCCAGTTACCCACACATCCCCATACACACACTCTCCCCCCTCTCTCTCTCTCTCAGCCCCCCTCACCCCTCTCTCCCCCTCCCTCACTCCCCCTCTCCCTCTCCTCTCACGTTACCCCACATCCCTCCTCTATAACACACTCTCTCTCCCTCTCTCTCTCTCTCACCTCTCTTCCTCTCCCATCTCCCCTCCTCTCTCCTCCCTCTCTCTCCTCTCTCCTCCTCTCTCTCTCTCTCTATCTCTCTCTCTCTCTCTCTCTCTCTCTTCTCTCTCTCTCTCTCTCTCTCTCTCTCTCTCCTCTCTCTCTCTCTCTCTCTCTCTCTCTCCCTCTCTCTCTCTCCCTCTCTCTCTCTCCTCTCTCTCTCTCTCTCCTCTTCTCTCCTCTCCCTCCTCTCTCCTCTCTCTCTCTCTCTCTCTCTCTCTCTCTCTCCTCTCTCTCTCTCTCTCTCTCTCTCTCTCTCTCTCTCTCTCTCTCTCTCTTCTCTCTCTCTCTCTCTCTCTCCTTCTTTCCCGATCTCCCTCTCTCCTCCTCCTCTCTCCCTCTCCTCCCTCGCTCTCCCTCTCCTCCCTCGCCTCTCCCTCCCCTCCCTCGCTCTCCCTACCCTCCCTCTCTCTCCCGCTCTCCTTCCTCTCTCTCCCTCTCCTTCCTCTCTTCCCCTCTCCTTCTCCCCCCCCCCTCTTTGCCCACACGCTCACACACACACACACACACACACACACACACACACACTTGTCTTGTGACCATCGTGTTGGGTGGACGTGGGGTTGGGAGCTCCTGGTTCACTAGTGGAGTGGGAGGGGTAATCAGGCAACTTCGAAGTGAAAAAGTGTGTACAAGTGAATGAAAAAACCCTTGGGTTTTGACCAAAACCATAAGGTAGTGAAGAAAAACAGTTTATATAGCGTAATTCAAAATAGCTGAGGAAGTACTGTGGCAGTGTGCAGTGTGGAAGCAGACCTCACCGGACTCTGACCATGTGACCTCACCTCCGGCAGCAACCCTTCTACCACCACGTGGGACGACGATTGGAGATTCACTCACCTATTGTGTTAGCAGGACGGTAAGATACTTGGAACCCCTGTGGGTAAGGTTGCATTATGGCAATGACTAGGTCAGGAAGGGTGTCTAGGTCCAACAGTATTATGATTGAGGAAGAAGATAGGTTTGTGGAGAAGATGATTGGGAAATTTGTAGAGAAGAGGGATGTTTGGATAGATGATCTAATCCAGGGGATTTAAAAGTGAAGTCTTTAATAAGATACAGGGCGAGGTTCAAAGACTCAAACAAGAGTTTATGGTTTATATTCAAGAGGAAATCACGAAGAGCAGGGTAGAATGGCAAGGAGAAATATCTAGGCTTACTAATGAA